CAGTGGCACCGAGAGGTAGGACGGGGTCGAGTAGGGGGAAGGGGGCACGCTGCTGCCTCCGTCCTCCGCCTCCGCGAACTCCTCTGCAACCGGAGAGGGCCATCACTGGGCTGCAGGGCTGCCCAGGGCCCCACGGGGACTTGTGGCAAGGGACGACCCCCGATGACCCCTCCAACAGCAAGACCAAGGCCCACGAGCATGTTCTTGAACCTGTCTCCCTGAGAAGCCTCAGAGAAGGGTGGTCCCTGCCCCTGGGAAATGACCCCGCACGCCCCAGGGGCTACCATCTCCCTTTCCAGGGAGGCCTCCCACCCACTGGCCCAGTGAAATCTGGTTTCCTCCCTCAGCCCCAGGAGGCTCACCCCTTTGGCCAGGGAACCCCCACCCCCTTACAAGCACCCAGGCTCTTACCCATCTCATTGAGGCTGGCGAAGCCAGGGGCGATGGGTGTGTGTTTGGGGGACTTGCCCAGGTTGGGGGCACTCGATGACCACTGTTTGCTTCCTTCCCCCAGCCCCTTCAGCCTGTGGGGCCCAGGGAGAGTCGGAGACCTCAGTCCTGTGGCCTGGAGCCTGGAAGCTGGGGCTTGGGCACAGGGTGGGCACCGCCACGCCACACCTCACCTCTCCTCTCCTCCCACCCGCTCCTTCTGCAGGGTGGAGCTGGGCCCCCACGTTCGGCCCTTCTTCTTGCCCCCGACCAGTTCTTCCTTCTTTGGGGGCCCACCGCGGCTCCATGTCCCACTTCCTCCACTGCTGCTGCCACTGCTGCTGCCACCACAGTCCACAGGAGTCACTAGGTCCAGAGAAGCCACTTGGTTACTGGGTGGAGGGTCTGTCCCCACTGGACTCCCAGCCTCCAGTGCCCCCGGCTCAGCCCCACCCTCCGCCTGGGAGTCCAAGGGCTCTTTTGAACTCCAGTCGTGACCCTCCCTGCTATAAATTCCTCCGTAGCTCCCTACTGCTGTCAGGACAAAGTTCCAGCTCCTCTGCCTGGCACTGAAGGCCATGAGCGGTTCCCTGCCAACTCCTCCAGCCTTCCCTGCTCTTCACAGCCTAACCCTTCACCATTCATTCCGGCCGGCTGCCTGCACTTCCGGTCTCTAGCTCTGGGTAGTTAGTTCCCTGGGGGTCAGCTGCCTTCATCTCTGTCCCTGCGATGCTCTGGACCTATCTGGTGCCAGTTTGCTGCCATGGTATGGGTATTTGTCTCTGTGTCCCCTGCAGGACTGACCTCCTGGGCCTGGTACAAAGCAGGTGCCCAGAGGGCAGGGGGTCTGTGGGTGGGGACAGTGCTGGGGTGAATGAGGGGCTGGAACTCGGGAGTTAGCCTTTCACCCTTCAGCCCATCAGGAAACTCCGATGACCGTGTCTCTGCCATATAGCCCCGACTGTGGACATCTGTCCCTTCCAAGTCCCCCACCCTGGCCTGGCCTCCATCATCTCACTGCTCTCTCCATCTTTATTTCTTACAGCAGCCAGAGGGAAAAAGGTCAACTTGATTCCCTCAGTGCCTTCCTCACATGGCTCTGGGGGCTGTCCCAGGGCAGTTAAAAGAAAATCCATACCAGGCTAGGTGTGGTGGCTCTCGCCTGGAATCCCAGCACTTTGGGAGGCCAAGGCAGAAGAATCACTTGAGGTCAGGAGTTGGAGACCACCCTGGCCAACATGGTGAAAACCCCATCTCTACTAAAAATACAAAAATTAGCCGGGCATGGTGGTGTAGGCCTGTAGTCCCAGCTACTTGGGAGGCTGAGGCGGGAGAATCGTTTGAACCCAGAGGCGGAGGTTGCATTGAGTTGAGATCGCGCCATCGCACTCCAGCCTCGGAGAGAGAGAGCGAGAGCCTGTCTCACCATGGAATACTATGCAGCCATAAAAAGGAACGAGATCATGTCCTTTGCAGGGACATGGATGGAGCTGGAAGCCATTACCCTCGGCAAACCAACGCAGGAAGAGAAAGTCAAACACTGCATGTTCTCACTTATAAGTGAGGGCTGAACAAATAGATCACAGGGACACAGGGACAGGAACAACAGACACTGGGGCCTGTCGGGGGGTGGGGTGGGAGGAGGGACAATATTAGGAAAAATAGCTAATGCATGGGCTTACTACCTAGGTGATGGGTTGACAGGTGCAGCAAATCACCGCGGCACACGTTTACCTGTGTAACAAACCTGCACATCCTGCACATGTACCCCAGAACTATAAACAAAAATTAAAAACAAAAAAATCCATACCAAAGGCGTCAAATGAAAATTGAAAGAAAAGGAAAGAAAAGAAAATCCAGACTCTTATCCTGCCCTCAGGGCGCTGCCTGATCTGAGCCCTGAGAACTCCCTGACCACAAAACCTATGTCCTCCTCCCATTCACTCTGCTCCAGCCAAGCGGGCTAACAAGCAGCCCACGCTGCTCCCACCTCCAGCTTTTGCCTTTGCTGCTCCCTCC